AAATTTAAAAAAATAATAATAAATTTACTTGTTTGTCATTTCACAATAATAATTATGCTAACTTTAACATAGCCATGCTGATCGATGCCAACAACCACAGGCTTCAAATCTCTACAAGATAAAACGGAAGAACATAAAGAAAGAGTTCACTACTTGTACTGCTAGAGTGACAATGCAATATAATGTGGTACATGTACATGCCTGTACATTCATATAAAATGAAAACAAGATGCAATTTATATTCACAAAATTAACAATGTACAGTATGCTGTACAGCTCCTTTATTTCGTGGCCTTAAATTTTTATTGTTTAAACATTAGAATTAATTTACAAAATAATAATATTTTGTTAATATTCATTTGATGTTAATAAAACTTAGTAGAATTAATTTTAGTGGATTTGAGCCAGCACAAATATTAATTTCACACAAAATTAACCAGGTAAACGGTATGTCATAATAATACATAATGCAGCTATCATGAATGAAGTTCCAAGAATGCAACCACATAAAACCATAAATGTTACATAAATGCCTCCACAATCTGTTTTATAGATAAAAGAACACATCACGAAGCTACATCATTATGTGCAACTCACCATGACAATGTTCTCTACTGCACATTATTAAAGTCTCAACAAGATCATATCATACAGGAATACCACTGCTGAATATATGAATGATAGATAATATTTTTAATACCATAGGGCGCTTTTTAGGACTGTAAATTTTGTGATTTTTTGAAAATTTGCAAAAATTAATTCTGTGAAAATCAAATTATTACAGCATAGTACAAGATGGCAGACAGCATAATTTTGCAAAAAATTAAATCCGTGAAAATTAGATTTATAGGCAAACTACGGCACACAATAATTACAATAATACTATAGATAATAAATACAAAACATTTGTGAGGCTTTTAAAGGAATCTGGTTACATAAAAAACATAACACACACACACACACACACAATAAAGTCCATTATAAAATAATTTGCCCTATAAAAAATTGTTTGGGTTATTATACACAGTTAGTACAAATTTAGATTAGGCGTTGATTGGTGTTGGGGTTTATAATTTACACATTAAAGTACCGGCATTTTTGCCCTATTAAAAGATGTGACAGGCCAAGTTGCCAACTGACCAAGGATTTATGTTAATTAAAACTGATCCAGCACACATAAAATAGATAAACTTTTAAACATTGATCAGTCAGTGATCTACCAATCACCAATCTTATAGCATCGAGTATAGCATAGGTTTAGCCTTTGATGATCAAGTAATGAAATTGTCATGGTCACTCAAGCTAACACCAATAAAATATCACATACCTTTTTGAGCTGAAGACTACTGAAACCAAGACTGAAACAGTTTAGACAGAAGAGTCCACCATTAAAGAATGATAAGAATGTAAAGAGGCGTGGTGATAAATCTGTATCATGTTGCATTGTGTTATAGCTTTTGGATCTACCTTTTACATGCTTAAGTTGTAATACTAGCAATGCCAATGAAACTGAACATACTTTGACTTTTTTCAGTTTTTTATTAAATGTTGAAAAAATAGAAAAATATGGAGATACTTATCAAAATGACAAAAAATTGGAAACTGTATTTCATAAGCAAAAAGATAATGATTATAACCCTTTTACTTTGTGGGCAATATCGTACCTTCCAGCCTCTTTCAGTGCTTCAATTAATCTGTGGCGTGTTGCATCGCGACGTCTCAGCCAAACCAAGATCATTTCCGTCCTACAATGATCAACATCAGTACTATGTCTGTATTTGATCCTTTCCAAATCAGCATTATCAATACCAAGGTGAATTCCTACAATATCCCAGAGGCCAACTAAGTCTTTAATGGCAGATAGTATAATAGGAGCATGACTTTCATCTATAGTGCAAATAATAAATATTTATTGTTCTTAAAACTACAATGATCATACTTAGTCTCTTAAATTTTGATGGTAGTGATTCATACATTGGCAGTGATTCAACAGTTGATGATTCTGGAGTATAAGTTGATGTATCTTCATCACTTGACTGCATCTCTTCCTTTTCTTTCTCAATAGCTATGTATACATGCAAAAAAGTATAGTCATAAGTCATTGATCATTGAAACTAACTCTCATGAGGTAAAACATCACTGTCTGCACTATTTGAACATTCATTCACTGCCCCCACACCTTAAGAGTATCATTTTAAGTTTTAATGTATTTCCAAATAATTTAACTTACTTTCAACCTCTGGAGAATGCAGTGATAAGGTCATATACGCTTCCAATGGTGAAGGTAGTGGTAATAAAACATCATCTACTGCTTTATTATATGAATAATGAATACATAGTTTGTATACTTACATGGTACAGATTGAACACTCTCAGCCTGGTTGGTGTGAATCACAACTGTATTTAAAGGGTTTGCTGCACTGATTGTATTTATGTTATTGTCTTCACTGTGATCAATAGTGTCAGATGGAGACTGCTCAGTGACACTACATGTATGTTGGACAAGAAGTTCTGAAGAACATTAAGTACATAAGCTTTAATAAAACTATATGAAAGCTACCTTGTTGTTGTCGTTCAATTACATTAGTAGTATTTCCTTCTTGATTGAAAATATCCCAATATTTTGGAGGATCATCGTCAGGTTCTGCTGCTAATTGATTGCTAAGTTCATTCTGATTATTTTCCTCTTCTATAGGAACAAGAGAAGGAAGGGGTGGGTCAATGTTTCTCTCTTCATCTTCTCGAGTATTATCAGTCGATGGAGTATCAACAACACTGCTTAAGTAGAATTTTAAGTTCAAATCTTTATCAAATGAATCAACACTGCCTCTAGTTTTATGAGAAATTCTTGAATCAAATTGTCGTCTTCGTGTCATCTTTTTATGGCAACCTTCACAACAATCAAATAAGGCATCCATAACAGGAACTAGACTAAAATGATCACAGTCCATATGAGGAATTATACACATTGAAAAACAATTTAAGCAGCAACAGCAGCAGCAAAAAAAAATTCCCAATACAGTTGTTGCAATAAAACCATCATATATTGATCCATGGAGTATTGAGCTGGAAAATGTATGGAGCATATCAGTAGTGTTAGTTGGTTGAATTAAAAAGTATGTGGTAGATTCATCAGCACAAATGAATGTGTTACACACAGTGACAGTGCAGGTATGTGAATGATCACAAGTTTGTTTAAGTCCAGTAGTATTATAACGTTTACATACAACAGAACCATTAGCTTGAATGGTGAAGCCACTCTCCACCTCAGCCCCCACATAATATACTCCATCAGTTGTAATGTTAAAGAAATAGCTATATGTGGCATTTGATGTAAAGCAATGACGGGCTATTATTACTTGACTATTTAGATTTGAGTTGACAAAATTATTAAAACTAGTCCTGTTATCAAAAAGATACAGGCAAGCTGCATTTTCTAAATTAAGCATTTCAGTAGGTTCTATTGTTATGTTATACTGAATTGAAGATCCGGCAAGTAAATAAAATGGGTTGTAGCTTCCAAGATAATTTAAATCATATACCTTTCTCCACAATACTGAAATATAAATTTGCTGAGAATGAAGGTCCTCAGTGATAATTGGAGGAATGTGATCAGTTTCAAAAATTGTATATTCATGGTAGATTTCAAATTTTACTTCAGCAATGGCAGGACTATTAACTTCAAAAAGTGCTGAACTGTCATCTAGCATGTCACCAATAGTAGAATCTCCAGAGCTAATTATTGTTGCATTTGGTATAACGCTAATAAATAATGCAGCTATTACGAATGAAAATCGAAGAATGGAACCACATAAACCCATAAGTACTATATAAGCGAGTCCCCAATCTGTTTAATAAATAATAGAACACATCATGAAGCTACATCATTATGTGCAACTCACCATAACAACGTTCTCTAAGGTTGCACATTATTCAAGTCTCAACAAAATATCATACAGGAATGCTGCTGCTAAATATGAATGATAGATAATATACACAATCATAAATATTAGAGTAAATGAAAGGGATAGGAATCTTCCGTTGCATGGGTGCATTATTCCATTAAAATTATTAGGTTGCCTAGCAACCTAAGCTAGTTACCCCTGACCAGACTTGCTCTCTCCAGCTCTGATTCTTACCTATAGCACTCGCATAGTAGTGATTACAGTGTCATATGATACTTTGAAGAAATCAGCTGTTATATATACCACTATCATAGCCAAAGATAGCAAGGTTTAGGCTTTTCTATTGCATTTATTAGCGATTAAAAGTTAAAAAAGTACCAGTTTGTTCTTTGGTCCCCAATATCTCAAAAGCAATATCATAAATAGAGGATTTAAAGCAACCCCTATTTAAGAGTTCTTTTCTTTACTCTTCCAACTTTAATAATTCCTGAAGCTTGTTTTCTTGACATTTTATGCTCAAAAACAAGTAAACTTTCCGTGTTTAGTTGGGTACCATTATCTCACTGCTTGAACGAGTAATGACTAAAGAGGCTTAAGGTACAGAATCTAGATGAGTTATTCTGGGTCTTCAGCCCATTATTTTGTCTTTGCGAAGCATACTTTTGCTATTACAAGGGACAAATTAAGGCCTAGTCAGGCTAGTCACCCATAGTGGCTATGGAGAATAACAGCTAGAGTATACTAGTATCCGGATTCCTCCACTTTCTAGGGTAAGTAGCTTGATTTCCCAGGAATGGAAGTTTCCTATCCCTTCATTTACTCTAATTTCTATGACACAATTTATTAGCTTCAATAATACTATAGATATAAATACAAAACATTTATGAGGCTTTAAGGAATCTGGTTATATAAAAGAACATAATGCACACACAAAAAGTCTAATATAAAGACCTGTCATGGGATAATTTGCCCATTAAAAAATGTCCTAGTACTACCTTAAAGCCACTATTATTTGCAAGTATTAATTGTTGTATTTTTAGCAAGTGGCTTTAAAATTGCAAAAAATAGTACTTGCAATTATTAAAAATTTAGGTTCATTAATAGTTATTAATTGTAAAAAAACAAATTGCAAAAATTTGTGCATGCTAAATCAATATATGTCTACTTTTAAAAAAGTGGCTTTAAGCTATACACAATTAGTAAAAATTGGTTGGGTTAGGGTACTGGCACAGGACAATTTTCGTCCCAACAAAAAATAATTTGTGACAGGC